GAAACGCTAGCTGTTTTAAACTTTTTCCCATTTTATGATTTTCAATTTTCACTTGAAAAAACATTTAATACATACATTTATTTATTTGATGTTAGTTGTGGTTATTGGTACGTACTCCTCTGTCCTACCAAGTGTTTGAACTACTTGACTTGTGTCATTAAGTCTCTCTACAATATTATTTATTTTTAATGATAAATAGAAGTCATTTCATTATTTAATAATTTATTAAAATTTTAAGTGATCTTAACAAGAAAAAAAAAAATTAGCCGAGCATAACTGTTCTAGAATTTATGATATAACAATTTTCTCTTTCTTTTGAAGAACATATAATGGTATTAAGAGGTAGACTCTTCTGAGTATTGATTATTGACATTTTTTTTCTCCGAGCTAGAATTTAAGGTGTCACGATCACATAAATAAAATTCTAATAATATTTTGGAAAAGAGGGAGAGGAGACTTCTAAAGATGAAACCCATGCAAAAATTGTGATGATGACAATAGATATCCTCTCTATTAATGGACAGCTTTGTAGTCTCGTGGAATCGGAATAACTTTCTGGAAAACTATATATGGAATTCGAGTTTGAGTTGTTTTAATTAAGCTCATTCGAAGAAAATTCAAATACGGTAGAAGATTAAAGCTTTATAGCCACTTCATTTGACCGGGAATATTAGTACAACGAATTTTTTAATGCACGTTTTTTTTTTTAATTACATAAAAAAGTCAACCACCTTTTATTATTTATTTTATTTTATTTGAATGTTATATAAGTTAAATTTTAAATATTTTAAATATATATATTAAAAATTAATTATCATATATTTTTATTAATTATTTAATTAAATTATTTTACATAATATTAATATTAAAAATAAAATTTATTTTTTTATAATTTTTATATAAATTAATTATAAAAAATATAATAAGTATACTTTTAACAACTATACTTAAAAAGAATAGAAAGACTTTTATTACGATAATAGTAGTCTCTTAGACTTACAACTTCCATGCCTAGAAGGAACAGAGAAACCCGTATGTTTGGTTTCCGAAAAGGGTGGGTTTTTCCTTCAGTTCGGCTGCGGAGCTACGGGGCATAATTTTCCTCGTGCG